TCGTCTGCATTAAGCTTGAAGTCAACCAGATCAAGGGGTACACCGACATGCGTAGGGCGCTGGAAGACGACGGTATTAGCTCCCAAACGGCCGACGATGTGGCTAGGAGTAACAGCCCGAGCAAGCCCGAAACGACGCTTTTCGGCAAAAGTACGCATGTCCCTCGCTTCAAGGTCCTCATGGTTGGCGGCTTCCTCCTTGTGAACGTTGCCAGCATGTGCATGGTTCCTTTCCGCAATACACACTCAGTTAAGGATCTGGCTCGTGGACTAGCTGGTGTGGGTATGTCTCCACCGGTGGATCCCTTCAAGGTAGCCTCTCGTGGGCTCGACGTGATCCTTGACAAGGCCAGATCAACCGGCCAAGATACAATTGTCACGGTTCTCGCCCCGGTCAAGTATGAGTTGCAGTTCCCCGCTGTGCACTATGGCCTTCCTGTAATGGGGTCTTCCAACGACAATGAAGGCATAGCTTTCAACCTTGATGGATATGGTATCGGCGGTCGTGTTGTTGGAGGCTTGCTCAAAAGTCTGGATGATCCGGTCTTTTGCAAGTGGGTTATTGCCGCGCTGGTGCTGAGTGTTGTCCTCAACAGCCACCTCTTCAGTGCAGCTCGGCAGGGCGTTAAGAGTACGCCAGATGACTCCACTGAGCCAGAGAAGCCAGTCAGTTTGCCAGTGGCTCGCAATGTACCATGCGAGTGCCAGCGAGTTGTTGTTCCAACTAGCCCGGCAGCCGAGGGAGAATTGGCAATCAAACGCACCCCAGAAGAGATGGAGCTAATGCTTTCAGAGAAACGCGCCCATGAGTTAACCGATGAGGAGGTTGTGGAGCTCTCCCTGCGCGGAAAAATTCCCGGCCATGCTCTGGAGAAGACCTTGAAAGACTTTACCCGCGCTGTCAAGGTCCGTCGCGCTGTCATTTCCCGCACCAAGGCCACCGCAGATATCACCAATGGTCTGGAACAATCCAAGCTCCCGTATGAGAACTACAACTGGACTCGGGTCTTCGGTGCATGCTGTGAGAATGTTGTTGGCTACATGCCAGTCCCCGTTGGTTTTGCCGGGCCTTTGGTCATTGATGGAAGAAGCTACTTCATTCCTATGGCGACTACCGAAGGTGTCCTTGTCGCCAGCGCGAGTAGAGGAAGCAAGGCCATCAATGCTGGCGGCGGTGCTGTAACCATGTTAACAGCGGATGGAATGACTAGGGGTCCCTGTGTTAGCTTTCCAACTCTGGATCGCGCAGGCGCTGCTAAGATTTGGCTTGACTCCGAGGAAGGCCAAACGACAATGCAAAAGGCCTTCAACTCGACTACTCGCTTCGGGCGGCTCCAGTCTATGACCACTGCGATTGCAGGCACAAACCTTTACATTCGGTTCAAATCTACTACGGGAGATGCTATGGGTATGAACATGATCTCCAAGGGTGTTGAGTACGCTCTAGAAGTGATGAAGTCTGCCGGATTTGAAGACATGAAGATCATAACACTGAGCGGTAACTTCTGTGCCGACAAGAAGCCCGCAGCGATCAACTGGATTGAAGGACGTGGAAAGAGCGTTGTTGCAGAAGCCATTATCCCAGGAGATGTTGTGAAGAGCGTGTTGAAGTCAGATGTTGACTCCATGGTCGAGCTCTTTGTAGCTAAGAACATGATCGGATCGGCTATGGCTGGGTCTATAGGAGGATATAACGCACATGCTGCGAATATGGTAGCAGCGATCTTTATCGCGACGGGGCAGGATCCGGCACAGGTTGTAGAGAGTGCCAACTGTATCACCATCATGAAGAAGTAAGTCCAGCTTCGTTAGCCCGTATGCAAATATGGCTCTAACCGTTTCCAGTCTTCACGGTTCGCTCCAGATCTCGGTCTCGATGCCTTCTATTGAAGTTGGTACATTAGGAGGCGGCACCATCCTGGAACCTCAAAGCGCCATGCTCGACAGTCTAGGGATCCGAGGATCGCATCCCACCGAACCGGGAGCGAACGCTCGGCAGCTCGCTCGCATCATCGCTGCTGCTACTTTAGCTGCGGAGTTGTCGCTCTGCGCCGCGCTGGCTGCCGGTCATCTGGTCAAGGCACACATGCAGCATAATCGTGCGCCTCCAGCCGGTGGGAAGTGAGGCCTAAACTCTGTACTTATATAGTATGATCAGCAGGTCTGTGATACGGGATAAAGAACTCTGAGTAGATAGACGGTAGACCAGCTGTGAAGGTAGCAATAGGCGAATATGGAAAAAGATGGTGATGATAGAACACGCTTATCAAAAGAATTGCAGGCTACTGCTGCTTCTCCGCACAACTTGCAGACTAATGCAATGAGAAAGGTTCGTTCAAGTTAGGCGAAAAATCCTTCATTCGGTGATTGGATCCCGATGATCAGAAGACCGGGCGATCGCTTTCTAAGTCGCAAAGAAGAGGAAGCGGGAGAGCCTTTGGGAGGAGCAGGTGAGAGGAGGACAGCCGGCGATTGGGGGGAACTACAGTGAGTAAGTAACTTTGTTCGTGAGACGCCTTACTAGTCTCAAGTTAACACCTACTGTGTGTAGTCCAACAACTTACTCGGTATTTACTTACCTTCTCTTATAACTCTATTAATATCTAGCCAGATTATCGATCTATCTAAACTTTTCAATTTGCATTTTTACTTTACCATGGTACGTCACAGTCATGCATGCATGAAAGTTAGGAAAGGAAAGCATGGGCGGTGAGACTGGATGTCCCAACCAGAGTGACCAGTGGGATACTTGGGATTATCGGGCGGCGTCAGCGGTGGTACAAGTACCGTCAAAGTACCAGCTGTAAATGTCCCCAGAAAAAGTCACTGGGTAAGTAACTTAAGGCCAAGAAGCACCGCGTACGTAACGGCGAGTGGGCCGAAAGGCCTTGAAACAGACGTGATACAGTCAATACCTTCCCCTCATCGTAATTTGTATATATTATTATTTTTCCCTTCCTTGAGATCGTCGGTCTCTTTCTCGCTGCCCTCCCCCTCGCCTTTTCCAACCTTCTCTCCATACAAGAAATCCGGGCATTGACCAATTTTCTGACGACTTCAACTTTCGCATGAGGGTTTGGTGGACACTTGTTTTTCTTTGTTTACCAATTCAACAAGTCCCTATAGCCCGCGCAGGCTCGGCCCGCGAGACAGACAGACTTCAGCTGTATTAACGTATACTCTTCATTTACCAAGGGTGTGTGCCGTGCTGAGACCCCCCCAGCAGGGAATCATCTTCCCCCAAAAAAGGCCTACCGATTAATCAATCCCAGGTACCCGCCGTGGAACCGCGGGTGGTGCTCTTTGTCTCTCAAAATCGTCTCCAGTCTTTCCCGACGAGTCTCAGCCAAGTTGTCTGTCTCAACAGAAAAAAAAACAGAATAGCAGCTGCGGCCAGCCCACTGCTGCCACTCACTCCAATCCAAGCCGTGGGCGGGAACCACTTTCGCCCGCTCGCTAGACCCGCGACGTACCTCCTTCGATCCCCATCGCTTTCGCTCCCTTCCCTCTCTCCCTCTTTCTTTCGGCCAGCTTGACGGTCGCCTTTCAAGCTCCTTGCTTTCTCTCCTCTGCTCCTCCCTCTCGGAGACTTCTTTCTCCCCAATTGGTCACCACCCTCTTTTTCGCGGAATCAGTCGCTACTGCTGCTGCTTGGGTCTGGGATCCCGACCCCTTCCGTAATTCCCTTGTCTCGTCATGGCCAGAGACGCATCGTCGCCGGCCTCGCAGTCGGCCCCGGAGCTCAATGCCCGCATTTCCACCTCCAGCGGACACCACCGCCCAGCCGCCAAAGAAACCACGTTCCGGGAATGGATGCTCGCCAACCAGATCGGTATGAACCAATCATGCAGCTTCCGATAATAATTCAATGTTTGGCCCTGTCAATGTTCTGCAAAACAGATGACCAATTCCATGCGAACTGTGAGCGCTAACTAGAACGTTTCCGTATATAGGTATTTCGTTGACCACTCTTTCTATGCTACTGGCCGTTCACCACCTCTACCCTTCCTTGAATCCCTACACCGCCCCGTTTTTCCAGCTGTCGTACTACCAGCCCACCACTGGAGATTATGTGCAAGGATGGGATGACATCTACTTTATCGCCAGCTCCGCGATTGCTTTCATCGCTATCCGGGCAATTGTTATCGACTGGATTCTCCAGCCACTGGCGCAAAGCTGCGGATTGAAACGGAAGGCCTCGGTTCGTCTGGCTGAGCAAGGCTGGCTCTGCTTGTATTATGGATTCTTCTGGTCCCTTGGCATGGTTCGTACTACTTAACATTGCGCTTACATGATTGGGCGTGCTGACCGTGGGGATGTAGTACATTTGGTCCAACTCATACTATTGGGGCGACTTCAGCGCCATCTGGGATCAGTGGCCCGCACGCAATGTGTCGGGGTTGATGAAATGGTACCTTTTGGTGCAATTGGCCTTCTGGGTGCAGATGCTCCTGGTTATCAACATTGAGGAGCGCCGGAAAGACCACTACCAGATGCTAACTCACCACGTCATCACCATCACTCTCTTCGGATCGGCTTATATCTATGGCTTCTACAATGTATCCAACGTGGTACTGTCGCTCATGGACATTGTGGACCTCTTGCTACCGGTAAGTAGGAATTCAGCCTTAGAATTGGAAACGTGAGCTAATTCGAAGACCAGGCGGCCAAAGTCCTCAAATACTTAAAGTACGAGACCACCTGCAATGTCGCTTTTGGTGTGTTCATGGTTACGTGGCTCATAACGCGCCATATCTACTACCCGCAACTGTGCTGGTCCATCTACAAGGACGTCCCAGCCAAGATGGCGTACGGCTGCTACTCCGGTACCACTGCGGAAATGACTTCCACCAACGCGTATCCCAACCGCTGGCGGTATCTGCTTTACCCCTTCCAGGACATCAGCGGCCCAATCTGCATGAACCGCACCATCAAGTGGATCTTCCTTTCCTGCCTTTTGGCACTGCAGGCACTCTCGCTCATCTGGTTCACCATGGTCATCCGGGTCGCCGTCGGAGTCATCCGCACCGGAAATGCTGAAGAGCCTCGCAGCGACGACGAAGAGGAGGAGGAAGATGTTGCGGGCAAGGATGGCCCCAATGGTACAGCTGTCCCGACCGACGGCTCCAGTGCTGACTGGCGCCGCGCCAATGGGTCTTCGAATGTACGGCCCCGTGGACGCGGCCGTGTTCGTCTTGGCGACCAGAGTGACCACAAAGCGTTACTCGGGCGGATCGGATGTGATAAACCGACCTAGACACCCTCTTAACGTCTTTGACTTTGCGTTTTCTCTCTTATACTAATGATATCATGGATGTGGATACGGACACGCTGAGATGCTGATATCGATGATCATTAAGACATCACCAGCTAGAAACACGTGAAACGAACCAGCAAGAAAGTACAGTTCGCATGGGGGGAAAAAAAAAAGTTCTACCTAACCTAACCGTTCTATATCTTTCCAGTTTTCAGCAGGTGCTCATCTTGTCTTTGCGTTTGATACCATTGATCTTGATTGGTAGTGATTGTGAATTTTTCTCCCTTTGATTCCCATTTTTATTTGCATCGAACTTTACCCACCTCACATCAACCCCACCTGATCTGTCAATAACGGCGTGCACGATGATCATTATGTTGTCTTATACTATGCTCTATGCTGCTGCTTGTCATTGCCTATCTTGTTCAGTTTATTTATCTAGATGATGTTGCTGGCCGATTGCATGCTTTGTTGCCTTGATGCCCCCCCTCCATTTATTTATCCAGAGTTGTTACTTTTTCTTGTGGTTTAGGGACGTAATACAAAATACCCACTGGTTGATGGTTTTATTGTTAATTTTTTTTTTCTCCATTATCGTTTCACTTTTTGCTATGTATGATAGCCTCAGCGAGAGATAGATACTTACGAATTTGCATCGTACAAAAGTGACAGAACTATTACAGTGTGTCCTTACATACCGGTAACATTGGGGCGGGTCAGGCACTTCATCCAATATTCCCACTTATTCTGTCATTACCTCCGCTAAACACAACATAACTCATTTTACTATTAACTAGGCCAACTAGTTAAATTGCCTTCTCTCCAATCTAGACTGAAACGAAACGCAACCCAAACCAAACCCTACCTCGCTCTCACTACCCGCCCACCATTCCAAGAGAAAAGAGAGCTCGAGCCCTGCTGAAATGGCTCCGAATAACCATATTAGCCTGACACGGTACGCCGTAGTCAGTAAGTAAATAAGTACCCAGCCCAATAACCCCATTATTTCATTGTCAATTTGCCGTTTTTTGAGCGCCCAAAACGCCATCCGTCTTCATTGTTACCAGTCATTCAATCATCTGTTGTCTTTGTCTCGTTAAAAGCGTGAGCCAGCCATGTTTTCCCATTTGCACCATGTCTTATCCATCCAGTAGGATCCCGGATTTCCCTCTTTCATGAAATTAACGCCTAGCAACTGAACGAGGTTGATGCGATGTGAGCAAGCAGCATACATATACGCCCTAGGGCGTAAGGGATTGGCCAAAGGAAAGAGAAAGAAAAAGATTACTCAAGTGAAAACAGGTATATTTGTAGTATCGTCACCCACATCGCGGGTCGTGATGGAGGATAAACTAAAATTCAGGATATCTTCACGCATCTGGGCCTCGTTCCAGAAGTATTCCGGTGAAGATGAAGATGAAGAAGGGGAGGCGTCGTCCTGGACATGAAGGAGACGTTTTCGTTGACGGGCGGCCAGAGTATCGGCGTCGATTTGGTCGCATCCGAGTGCGCATTCTTGTTGAGTGACGATGAAGTCGATGAGAACTTGGCGGAGACGGTCCCAGATCGTGCCGTGGCGTTTCCATTCAAGGCGCTTGGCAACTCGGACCATGCGGGAAACAATCCAGCACCGGGCACTAGTGTCGCCGCGGTAATTTGGCGGATAGCCGCCGTTGTTGAGGAAGAGCCAGAGGACGGAGGTGATGCTAGGGTTGGTGGAGGGATTCATTTTTCTGATTTCCACGCTTAGCCATTCCATGTAGGGGTCGAGGGAGGTTGAGTTTAGGTAGCAATCGTGGAGAGCAATGGCCAGGAAGAAGAGACAGGCCATGCAGGTGTATTCGTCGATAAAACGGATATCCCGAATTCCATGATCGTAGTCAGGGAGCATCGTGAGAATCGTGTAGAGCTGCGTGCCGGGTGTGAAATAGTTGATGCGCTTCGGGATGGCATCAGGTGAGAGAGTGTAAGGAGCATCTAGGGCACAGCGTTCTAGTTCGCGGAGACGGCGGAAGAATCTTAAAAAGTCTTCGCAGGCGCGAAAAGTTTCGCAGAGACTTTCCGAGTCTTCTGCGGTAGTTGAGTCATGGGGTACTGCAAGGTGAATTGTCGGGTCCAGGAAGTCGAGTGGAGGAGTAGCCGAGATAGCACCAGTCCAGGGTAGAGAGGTGCTGACAATGGCCTTTGAGGCACAACTAAAATCCACCCTGAAGACAGTCAACAGATATCCTTTCATACAGACAACCACAAAGTTACCAATAGAGCACCTTCTCCAGGAAGGGGCTAGAGATCCGCATGCCTTGCATTCCTCCGCGACTTCTAATCATCGATGCCAATCCTCTAAAATGCATCCGTTCTATGGATGCATCCTTGGACCATTTCTCCAGGGTGTTAGTTAAATACAATTACAACGAAACGCAACGAGTCACAATACCTCAATAACAGCCATTGTGGCAACAGCGTAGATAGTTCCATCATACTGCCCAGTAGAGTCTGCTTGGATGCGCTCGTTCATCAACCGCAGCGCTCGCATCTTATGGGTCAAACTTTGGACGGACTCGGTTTTGCCTTCGACACCTGCACGGTGCTTCGAAGCAATGGCGAGCATGGCCTGGAACGGCAGGCCATCGTGCAAGGCAAACTGCCGAAATATCTCCATCATAGGGTTGTTCGCGATCGAATCGGCAAACTTATACATCATAGATGGGTACGTGACCACAACTAACATACGTGTAAGCTCCAGTCAGGAAGCAAAGTGATATGCAGGGGTTTGAAATGCACATGCAACGTCTTAGGCTAGGGATGACATCTGCGGCGCAATATAACATACAATGTTGGATCAATTCATGATCTGCATGGCTAACCGGAATTGGATAGCAGCTAAACGGGTCTCGAACGGAACCTTCTCCAGGAGTAATGAGGGGGTCTAAAGCCTTAGGTGTAGGCTTTTGAACAGCCAGTGAGGAAGGAGGCGATTTCTCCTCACGTTTGACCTTGTGTAATTTAGGGATGAGCAATCGCGCAGGTCCCTTTGGCTTTTCAGGCGGTGGATGGTCCTCTTCGCTACTCGGCGAACCCTTTTCGGATTTGATAGCAGGCTCATCCTGGATTTCCTCCACCAGCGATGGGGAGGACTCGGGTACCTGAGAGTCAGACGGGGAGCGGGGGGTCCAACCACCGCCAGGTATACGAGCTGTCCCCAATCGCGCGATACTGTCCAAGCGCCGCTGATGCATGTACTGGCGCATGGCATGGCGGCGGACCTGGCGCTTGGACTCATGATCAGTGACTAGGACAAACTCGAAGTTCCTGGAGCCAGATTGCTGGGCGGGTCTGGCAGGCCGGTTCCTTGAGGGAGCTGAGCGGTCTTCTGCATGATGATTATTGTGATCATTGGAATGACGACGAGCAGGCACAGGGCCTGGGGCAGCGCCCACATTCACATTCTGAAACTTAAGATCAGGCTTATTAGAGGTGGTTCCGGGGTCGGGGTTACCCTCCTCCCCCATTATCTCATGATTTGGCCTGGCCCGGCAAACGCGTAGTACCGGTCAGGCCCGGGAATTAGGGACTGGGGGCAAGAGCCGAAGGGTGGGGAAGACCAAACAAGGCGTCTGTCTGTACTTTCTGCAGCTCTCTTGGGCAGTGGAGCTGTCCGAGGAGCCCGATGGGAATCGATAGGGCAAAAGCTTCAGAAACTAAGCCCGTGGCCGCAAGAGATGGCGCATAGCAGAGAATGTCGTTGGACTGGCACAGAATGGCGAAACTCCAATGTTCGCCGTCAGCCCGATTTCCCCTTTGGGCTTTGCTTCCCCCACCCTCGTGCCCCCACGTGATGATCTCCCGGCTGACTCAGCCGTATAGTCACCGCTTCATCTTCTTTCACGTCTCTCTCCCTAACCACTAAAGGAAAATATTATAGAGATTACGCCCAAATTTTGAAACATCGCTCTATCTATGGATTTAACATGGAGTATAGAGAAGAAAAGCTGTAAATTTTGTTACTATAAATGCCCCTTGAGATCACTAATACCTGGCAGTGTCTGCTGGGGAGGGGCTCAGGCACCTACAAAATAAGCATTGCTACTCCACCTGCCTTAATACATTCTGGATCCCTTCTTCCCCATGGGGTAACTTGACTCCTACTAATAAAAGTGCAAAGTAAGGTTGATTAGCTCTGGCGGCCTTCTGATTTGATGGCCTGAACACACGTAATCCACGATCATGCCCTAGTGGTCTACTATTGACGGTATGGGTGTCTAGTGCGCCAATGGCCGATGCATCTTGGCTAAGCTTCTGTCATCTTCTAGTACTTCCCGCTAAGCTGACCAGCCCTACCTATATTGTAAATCTAAGCGAGTCGGCAATAAAGTTGATAGTTAGCTTGGAAAAACATTCAAGCTACATGTTACCCCACTCCATTAACATCAGTCACGTGCAGCTTGTCCCATCCCACTGTAGACTCTCCGGGCAGCATCTCGAATCCCGCTCAGTAATTTCAAGGCATACAAGGGAGTAATAAACCCCCATACCGTCAATGAGGAGTTGCACTATTGGCTCCAGTCTCTTGCTTAATATCTTGACTACAGGCTGGGGCTAGTTGTTGGCATCCGCAAGGCAATGTCCCTCTACACCACGGTCTCCATGTTATAAACAGAATCCACCTAGTTAAGGGATCAACCGCCGTCCTGTCGATACTTCGCCAGAGCCGCCATGATGCCCTCACTCATCTCTTCCTCCTGCTGACTCGACTCCTGCAATCGTCGCTCTTCGATAGCTTGTCTCCGTGTTTCTAGCCGACCCTCCTCTGCATCTGCTAGGATTGATTCTGCGGCGTTGTCTTCACTTGTTTCCAAAGAATTGAAGGTTCGGTCTCCATGATCCTCAACAACCCCGGTTGCATGACCTCTAGCGATTCCTCCCCTGGCAGTTACCCTCTTCGCCGACTCGGCCCTAAAGCCTTCTCTTACTGTAGTACACCACTGCCTGACCTTCTTCTCACCCCATCCGGGTACTGCACTGATCTGCTCTGGTTGGGCATTAACCGCATTCTGCAGGCTCCCAAACGTAGATATCAAGCTTGCTGCATCTGATTTATTAATGCTTCGGGGTGTCGTGACGAACTCAACAAGAGATTCCTTGTATGACTGAGCTTGCTGCGTGCGAATAGCAATAGGTTGAGAGTTTTCAGAAGACTTGAACAATTCAAGATAGTGTGCAGCTTCGGGTGCAGACCAGCAAAGGATCAGCGTCAAGTTATTGACGATGGATGTCTTCGAAAGCTCCTTCAAGCTTTCTTCATGATTCGGGATATCCACAATAACCAGGATAATACGTAAAAGGTATTTTCCTGCTATGAGACGAATTCGCGAGTAGATATATTCGGGATGTAACCGGTGGTACTTCAAGGAAAGAAATAGAGCACAGGTGGTATTTCCGACCACATAGTCGGCCGGAATATCTGCATATTCCCATGGCAGCAGTTTGATGTGATTCAATATCGGATTGCCTTTTTGTCGCGTTGACACGAGGATGGCAGATGGACCAGACCTGCTGGGGAGTGCTTGTGGCTTAGGCTGCTGGACTTTAGACGGTGGCTGCGGCGTCGAGGCACCAGACGCTCGGGGCGTAGCAGATTCTGAACGTGCTACTGGGTCCATTGCTGCTTTCTCTCCCCAAGTGTCGTCCGATATTGGTTCGGAGGAAATAGAAAGTTACTGCATCAAGTGCCTTCGCAGATTATAAGCGAACGGGACCCTGGATGTTGTCATATCGCTTCGATTTACACCCATCCTTGGCCGTGAAAGGTGGGCCGTGCAAGGGTTCCCGATTGGTGATTATGAGATATGTCACGTGGTAGATCCATCATGTGACTTGGGTGTTCATCCTTTCAGATATGTGCCACGAGGAAAGGATTAGCGGTGGTGGGCAGGGATATGAAGCCTTGATTATATGGAGTCTCTGGCTTCGTCTTTTAAACAACGGAAGAGCATACGATTCCTTCAAATTTAGTATAATACCGTCTCGTTCAGTGTAGCGCATGCCATTGTAAATCGCTAACCTCGTCGGGCATAAGTGAAAGGAGTCTTCCGTCTGCAAATGACAGTTATCGAACGCAGAACAGCAGACAGAAGTATCGCGAAGCAGACGATCAGTAACAAGAAAGATCTAGACTGATGTGTAGAATGAAAGTAGATGGAGCATGGTGGAGACCCATCCCCTCTCACCGCCCGCAGACCCGCTTTTGCCTCCAAAAGTCAGAAAACGGCATCGGGATTTTTCTGCCGCTGATTTTGCTACAAAAAAAAAGGTTACTCAAAACACCAATCAAGGCTGAGAGGAACGAGTCCAAGATGAGTTCCCCTGAAGCCAGCGAGATCAAGGGCAGCGTTGCCCCTGAGTCCAACATGGAAGTACAAACCGACAAGCCAGCACAGGAGACACCGGCCTCCAACCAGCCTAGGAGGGAGCTTTTCATCCGATCGCTTCCCGCCTCTACGACGACCGAGAGCCTGACAGAATATTTCTCGCAATCCTACGTTATCAAGCATGCCGTTGCTGTCACAGACCCTGAGACGAAGCAATCGAAGGGATACGGTTTCGTGACATTCGCGGATATCGAAGACGCAAAGGCTGCGCTAGAAGAATTTAATGGCTCCGTGTTTGAAGGCAAGAAGATCAAGGTTGAATACGCGCAACCGCGTCATCGTGTTGTTGATGAGAACCTCGGAAAGAGCAAGCCTTCGGCTGAAGCTCTTGAGCAGAAGAAGAAGAGAGAGGAACAGAGGGCGGCTGCTCAGCCGCCTAAGCTGATCGTTCGAAACTTGCCGTGGAGCATCAAGGAACCTGATGATTTGGCGGTGCTCTTCCGCAGCTTTGGAAAGGTCAAATATGTTACCCTTCCTAAGAAGGGAAGTCAACTGGCCGGTTTCGGTTTCGTTGTTTTGCGCGGAAAGAAAAACGCCGAGAAGGCGTTGCAGGCAGTGAACGGAAAGGAGGTGGACGGAAGAACATTGGCTGTCGATTGGGCTGTTGAGAAGAACGTCTGGGAGGATTTACAAAAGGATCAGGAGGAACAGGAGGAGAATGTAAAGGAGGAGTCAGAAGACGCTGATATGGAGGATGCTATCGAAGCAGAAGTTGGCATTGATGAAGAAGCCCAGTCTGACGAGGACGACGACATGGAAGATGGCAGCGACGTTGATGAGGATGAAGATGTCGAGGAGGACGAGGACGAGGATGAGGAAGAGGGAGATAAGGAAGACGAAAGGAACGCTTCGACTATCTTCATCAGAAACCTCCCCTTCACCTGTGACGATGATATGCTCTACGAACACTTCACCCAGTTCGGTCCCCTTCGCTATGCCCGAATCGTCGTCGATCACGAAACCGAGCGTCCTCGTGGTACTGGTTTTGCTTGCTTCTGGAAGCCCGACGATGCAGCAGCCTGCGTGCGCGACGCCCCCAAACAACAAGATACCTTTGTCGCAGAGAAAGATAAGGCTAAGAAAGCCTCTACCGCCTACAAGCATTCCATTCTACAGAACGAAAACGCCGACCCCACCGGACGGTATACCTTGGAGGGTCGTGTACTACAAGTTGCCCGCGCAGTGAGCAAATCTCGCGCTTCACAGCTGGAGGAAGAGGGAGTGTCTCGCCGACTCGTCCGCGATACCGACAAGCGCCGCCTGTACCTTCTTTCCGAGGGTACCATCCCGCAGAACTCCGCCCTCTACAAGAAGCTTTCGCCATCGGAGATCAAGATGAGAGAGGACAGCTATAAGCAACGACAGAACTTCATCAAGAAGAACCCGGCCCTCCATCTCAGTTTGACGCGTTTGTCGATCCGTAATATTCCCCGTCATGTCACCACAAAAGATCTGAAACAGCTCGCTCGTCAAGCGATCGCCGGATTTGCAGAGGATGCGAAGAAGGGTCTGCGGCAGCCTTTGTCTAAGGAGGAGTTGAACCGCGCGGCCGACATCATGAGAGAGGCAGAGCAGTTGCGGAAGAAGAAGGGTGTTGGTGTTGTGAGACAAGCGAAGATCGTCTTCGAAACCCGTGACGGCCACAAGGTTGGCGAGGACAAGGCTGCGGGAAGAAGCAGAGGTTACGGTTTCATTGAATACTACACCCACCGCCACGCCCTGATGGCTCTCAGATGGCTCAATGGCCATGCTGTTGAGGCACCTGCGACTGGTTCGGAGGACGCCAAGGACAAGAAGAAGCGTTTGATCGTTGAGTTCGCCATTGAGAACGCCCAGGTCGTCAAGCGCCGACAAGAACAGCAGGCTAAGGCCCGTACTTTCAAGAAAGGAAAGCAGGATGGTGAAGGTTCTGCGGAGAAGGACGAAGCAAAGAACAACAAGGGAGGTCCCAATGGAAAGAAGAGGAAGCGCTCTGACAACAACGACAAGGGCGCAAATGGAGAGGATGATGAGGAACAGAATAAGCTTGCAAAGCGGAATCGTATCATCGCAAAGAAGCGCATGCAGCGAAGATCTCGGAAAGGAAAGGCCTAAGGCCGGGTACATAGATAAAAGTCAATGCGGGTTATATATGGAGTAAATAGCTAATGATATCTGTCAGCAAGCTTATTTCTTTGGTTTCTAGCGCTGTATTGTTGAAAGTATCTGACACCGACAGCTCTTTATTCAGAGTAGCTCGCGTAAGAGTGAAGTCAACGGGTATTATTCTTGCATTGCAGAAAGGTTGATTATCTCCATGCATCACTGCTAACCATTTGTTCCTTTAGTAGTTCGTAGCATCCTTCACCTTTCCCACAATGTTGTAGCGTTTGCTGAAAAATGTGAACCATTCATCCAGGACTGTCTTCTCCTTGTCCTCCAAATCATACCAATCGGGTTTGCAATCCTCGGCTTTGAGCGACGAAGAGGCAAGGGCGCGGGAGGGATCCTTTCCAGCAAAGACTAGCAAATATACATCAGCACACCCGTTCACAATCACTAAGGCATAGATATAGGTTTGTATTCAGGATGGGATAGCTTACCGTGGTACTGCCCACTAGGACTGTATGCCTGGTTCCTAGTCACATCGAAAACGATTCCCTTAATCGCAACCAAGGTGGGACGGTTAGGATCGGTACCTATAAATATTAATTTGTCAGTACTGAAATTGTAACAGATTGGAGTATCCTCGGAGGTGCAGTGTGAAGAACTCACCATCACATTTGGACAGCTCTTCAACGGTTATGGGATCATATTTCGGGGGATCGAGCTGGACAGGGATCTTAGGAGAAAAGCGCTTCGGCTCAGGCTCGTGCTCGACCATTGTGACGATTGTCTATCGTGCAGGTAATTCTATTCAGGGACTGAAAGTGGTTTTCTCGCTGGGAAGTTGTTGTCTAGCAGCAGGAGCCTTGGAAGGACGAGGTTCGTTGCCGGTTAAACAGGCGCGGGGCAGGCGGGGAGAGCTCGGAGCGGCGAAACCGTGGGTCGACGTTTGGCAGCTACCGTCCGCGGCTCGGTGATGTTATCGTAAGTCCCCATCTCGTCTTCTCGGATGAGTAGTACCTTTTACAGCTAGTTTCATTGGCTCTCGAGACATCGACTCACTACCATCTTCTGGAGTATCCACTGCCCCTGAACCTAGGTAGGTTTAGACTCGCCTAGTCCAGGGTCAGTCTCGATAGTTGCTCTGAGATATGCTTGCAGGAGTAAAGTTGATGCCAGTGATCTGTAACAACGTGATCGTAATAGTTTGGTTGGGCAACTCGGGCGAGCCCCTTCCGCATCTGTAGAGGACTGCCTGCTCTGGAAATCCCGTGATTGGTACCAGCTTCTGACGTCAAAGACGCCTCCCTGATGGACAACTGTGTCTATCGTATAAGCAAGCACCACACATGTCATCCATCTCAGTCTACAACTGTTGCAAACTCTTTCATATTGTGTATACAGAACTGGGTCATCTATTCTAGGCCTCGTTGTTATCATATTCATCACGAGGAACTTCCCAAAGAACGGACACAATGTCCTCCCATCAGAGTAGTCGACCGAGGGCCATCCAGACCCCATCCCTTGCTCGAGACTCTTATGGCAATGATGCAGAAAGAGACCCCAGATCGATCTCGGAGGAGTCCGAACTGTCGCATTACCTCCACTACGAAGACAACGACGGCTTTTTCCCTCCAGCCTGGCTAGGGAAGGCACCGCCTACTCAACATGGAGTTGGAACGAAGGTTTCGGATAAGAATACCCAAACCGAGATGCGAACATGATCAATGACACAAGATATTTTCGCATGAGTCTGCTGTGCCTTTTTCTCATTAGTGGCCTTTTTTCCTTGCCTGGCGTCATGGCGTGAAATGCTTCTCCATACGTGTTGAAATCACGAGGCTGGGGAAATATAGTTGAGATATGAGGGATGGGGAAGTGCCTCAAAATCGCATTATGTCCGCCGAATCCATTCTTCCTTTATGGGCCTTGAAATCCCACGGATACAAGTCGCCGCGGGGAAGGCTGGAGCAGAGACTCGCATGACTACAATTGCTATATCAAGGGGCAATCAGAGGGGCGCTTGCTGGAACAAGGATTACTCGGTATTATCATTCTAGTCAGTCTGGGATTAGTATCATGTACGGCCTAGGCCGCGCCAAACCTATGGAACCCTAGCTGCTACTGCATCGTTGGTTAGTCCAAGCCGAGTTAAAATGTCTTATACCCTGCAATGCAGGATTCTCCTTTGACAGTTTCAAGCATTTGTTTAACCTGCAGTCTCACAACAGCCTCTCTGCCACCAATGTTCATACCAGACTTGTCAACTGACAATCTGGATTCACTCATGTGACCCCCCGGCTGAATGCCACGGCAATTCCCCAAAACAGTTAGGGCGGGCCATCCCCGGCCGAGGTTTAACTTCAACTTTTCCTACTGCCCCTCATATTTGGGTCCCTTGCTGCCCGTGGCATTTATCTACCGTGCGTGCCATTTGGCTTGGTAGTATACTCAGCTGCAACCAGCTATATCTGCGACTGGCTGCAGTCATTGATACCTGCCAACCAAATCCGGCGGTGCCACAACAAATGTGCCTTACCACATCTGGTTCTGGCCTAGATAGCTCTTATCATAGCCTTCGCTTCCTATGTCAGACTCGAAGACCTTAAAACCCCGGGGTATGTCTTCCTGGCATACAATCGTCTCCTGGATGCTGCCATCTGCCTTGCTGATGTGACTGCCTGGCGCTTTTACTCTACTTTGTAATATCAAAGATTCGTCGCTTCCATCCAAAGGCAGAAAGTGACCCTGATCATGGGTTACACGAAAATCGTAATTCAATCTGATTGGACACCTCGACGGCCGATCTGTCTGTGTTGTATCTATAGTAGTATCCGACGCAGAAGGTTATGATAGGGTCAGATAACTCCATATAGAGTTTGACTTAGCACACCAGTGTAGAATGTGTGGCTAGTTTCCCAGGTTGCTTATCATTCATTACGAATTCGAGTCGATAGGAGAGTGTAGTGTAAGTAGTTGTTAGCGTGGATTAATACTATCAAGTAAAGTAGAAACAGCAAGCAAGGAAGGACAAGGTTAAAATAACGAGCACCATGTTTTGCTCAAACGCCACGCACAACTGTATCTGCCCGCCATTGTGGGGGCCCCGAATGGAGTCGCCGAAGCTGCAAGTCGGCCTCCGCGCTGTGATTTGCCTCCTTGATTCCCTTTGCACGAGTTATTCCTAGACCATAATTGACTAAAATGTCTTCTGCCGAATAATGCCCCATGATGAGGGATATTCGCATGGCGAGAACGGCTCTTGACCGGTCTAGCTAGCCCACCATTTTTCTTCGCGGTTTCCCTTCGCCCGCTTTCTTTTTCTACGAAACAGCTCTCCTTTCCTCTTATTCCATGCCTCACAATTCACTCAATGTCCTTGAACTTGCTTTTTTATATATAAATTTAAGCTGCCCACTGCGGGGCATTGATGAATTCTAGCCATAATATGGCTTTTACATCCGCTATACAAACCGAGGGGCATTCCCCCACAATCGGCCCTCAAGGATTTAGCGAGAAACGTAAAGAATCCGATATGGGACGCACTGAGAAGGATGCTGTCGTTCGCGACAGTGAAGAAATAGTCGAAGATGAATCGAAGAAGCTTGCCTACGACCATACGCACCGCAAGCTGAAGCCCAGGCATATCCAGCTTATCGGTATCGGCGGCACAATCGGGACCGTTTTGTACGTCCAGATTGGCAAAGCACTGATGGAGGGTGGCCCTGCTAGTCTCTTCATCGCATTTATTATCTGGTTAGTCTTGATCCCATCACTCTGTTCTCTTGTCTTTCGCTGTTCCCTTACGGTGCTGCAATTCCCATCTTGTGAACTGTCTCAAAAGGCGTCGTTTATTGGTAAGTTTCTGGAAGCCGAAGCACAAAGTACAGGAACTCGCTTTCGCCCAATGGTCAGCGTCTGCAAGGATGTCTTTCAACATCAGACACCTCATGCACTATACGTAGATAGCGCAGTGTCAGCTTTTCCTCCTTGTTCCTGATGTGTGCTCCACCCTAGAGACAGCAGAATTTCGGGATTGCCTGGCCTTGCCTTGTGCATATTGCTGCTAAATTTATGGAATCTTATACCTCGTTTATATATAGGTCCGCTGTCATTCTATGTATAACTGTTTGTACGGATTCCCTTTCCCTGCGATCTTGAAGCCCTTCCTATCTTCCCTCATGCCGCCAGCGACACAAAAGCTGCCAATTGCGACCTGTGCGATTTTATCTGCATGCCCCAAAGCGCCGAATTCCCAATGGCCTCTGATTCCGTCGCAACAACTTGGCTCGCGCATTTGTTCCCTTTGAAGTAGCATTCCACTAAGATAATACCTATGCTAGGTTTGGCTGAGATGGTCACATATTTGCCCATTTCCTCGCCCTTTATCCGCTTTGCAACTCGATACGTTGACGAGGCCTTTGGGGTTGCTGCCGGTTACAACTTCTTCATCTTTCAAGCTGCCATGGTGCCATTTGAAGTTACAGCGTGTAACCTGATTATCACTTACTGGAGCGATGCGGTCCCAGTCGCCGGAATCATTGTAATTGTGCTTGTGCTCTTTGGGTATGTTATGCTCTCGATCGAAGCATACCTCCTGTGCAACTTGAAGCAGTTCAAGCTAACAAGTATCAGGCTACTCAACATCTTCGCAGTGAAGTGGTATGGCGAAGCCGAATTCTGGCTTTCCCTGAGCAAGGTCTTGCTTAGTGTGGGCCTGATCTTCTTTACATTCATTGTGATGCTCGGAGGCAACCCCCTTGGCGATCGATTTGGATTCCGCTACTGGAAGAACCCTGGGGCATTCAACGAATACTACAAGACTGGAGATCTAGGCCGATGGCTCGGGTTTCTTGCTTGCCTCATCCAAGCCAGTTTCACGATCGCCGGTCCTGACTACGTCTCCATGGCTGCCGGTGAAGCAGTCAACCCCCGCAAAATCCTGCCCAAAGCATACAATGGCATCTTCTATCGACTCACCACCTTTTTCGTTCTTGGTGTGCTCTGCGTTGGTATCTTAGTTCCCTACAACGATCCTGACCTGGCTGCTGCGTACGAAAAAGACCTGCCTGGTGCAGCCGCATCACCGTATGTTGTCGCCATGGACCGGCTGAAAATTCCCGTCCTGCCACACATCGTCAATGCTATGGTCCTCCTCGCTGCTTTCAGTGCCGGAAACAGTTACGTCTACTGCGCCAGCAGAAGTCTGTACGGTCTTGCTCTGGATGGCAAGGCTCCGCGCATTCTCACCAAATGTACAAAAACCGGTGTGCCAATATACTGCGTCTTGATTGTGTTCGTTTTTGCGCTGTTGGCTTTCCTACAGGTTTCTAATGGGTCAGCTGTCGTGCTGAATTGGTTCGTTAATCTTGTGAGTCTTTTCCCATCATTTACTTCTTCCGCAAATTCTGATGAAACACAAATCAGGTCACTGCATCCCAACTGATCAACTTTTCCGTCATTACTTTCACCTACACCCGGTTCAGAAAAGCTCTCATGGCACAGGGTGTCCCTCGCACATCCCTTCCCTACCAGAGTCGTGGCCAGCCCTATGTCGCCTACATTGCCTTAGTCTCGACTTTCGTCATGACTTTCATAAGCGGCTACACGGTCTTCTTACCTGGCAACTGGGACATCCCGACTTTCTTCTTCTCGTATACCATGATCGGAGTGTTTCCTGTCATCTACGTGGGATGGAAACTCTGGCATCGTACGAAGTTTTTGAGCCCAAAGGAAATTGATATCGTCACTGGAGTCGAAGAAGTGGATGTGTATACGAGGAATTATGTGGAGGAACCTTCAAGGTAGGTCTATCTGGTATACTTCTGATGGTCTGGAAACTAAGTATCGTACACAGTAACGCTTTTACGAGATTCAACGATATGGTTTTTGGTTAAACCAGCATCATGAGACAATGCATAGAGAAAACCTGGGTGGCTGTCTGGATAGAAGTTCTTTTCTCGTTTCTTTCCTTAGCAGATGAACAAGAAGACGACTTTGAAGATAAACAATGAAATCGCTCAACCATAGTCCAGCCCTATAGAATATCATACAAGACACAGGTATATCCCACCCCCTCCAATATAATATATTACATCCCCCTTATTATCATCTATCATCTATCATCCACCCTCTACCACCACCCCATCCCACTCCATATGAACGACACAGCATCAAATTAATTCCCCTCCCCCCTCTCCTTCTTCAACGCCTCCAACCGCATCTTATTCCTCTTCCCCAATACCCTAAGCGTATTCTTCTTCTCGATCTCCGTCATGGCCTCCCAATTCGAAATCCGCGATAACGTGCCATCCTGATTCACCACCACAGGACCCAGGTGGTCCAATGCAACTGCTGATCCATCCCCGCTTACGTCGAGTTTCGTGGCTGATTCGGCGTCTGGAAGGGCGAGGATGGGTTTTTGTTGGTCATCGCCTTCTTGTTGGTTTTGGGTTTGGGTTTGGGTTTGTTGGTCGTTGGGTGTGCTCATCGTGGAGTAGTGAGAGCTTTGCTCCTTTTGATATCTATTGGTAGTGGTGGTGATTGCGTTGTTGTAGAGATGGATTGCTGAGCAGTGAGGGTGGAGGGGGAGTGTGGCTTGGTGGAGGAAGTGTCGGGGTGTGTATGTTGTGGTTGTGAGTGTTGCGGTTGCGGATGCGGGTGCGATGCGGGCGGTCGTGGTTAGGAGGAGGTTGATGAGTGAGGCGCGCGTGAGGGTTGAGGACATGTACATTATATTATTTCTGTTGGTTGTTTGGTTGTTGTGGAGTGTGGGTGAGGGTGGAATTTGGTTGATTAAAAGAAAGGAAGGATGATGATGTCGTCGACGAAATCTTGGGATGTGGAGTGAAGGCGGGCGGAGTCGAAAAGAGGATTCTAGAACGTTGGGTACGTTCTGAGTCTTAAGCGTACAGATTGCCCATCTATTTGTTGTATTGAGTTACGTAGATTGGGTTGTGTTTTTTGTGCATATTATTGAACTTATTTCTGGGTGAAATAATTTACTTTTCTTTTGTCAAGCTGTCTTGCTGTAGCTTGTATCTGTTCCGATATAGATGCAGCTCCGTACATTACCATATCTACAAAACTACTTATCCATCATACACCCTGCTTATTAGCGGAACCACCAATTCACCTGTTGATCAGATAAGTATAAAAGAGTCATACGCGCACACTTATAGTCAACTTACCGAAGCCGTCACCCCTGTCCCAACGCCCTTGATACTATGCCACCATCCGCGGGGAATGAACATTCCATCACCCGCTTCGAGATGTGCTTCATACCCATCTAGCCCCGGCACAGCTTTCTCCTCATCCCAGACAGCCTGCTCCAATAATGCCCTTTCTTGGCCCTGCATCATTTCATCTCCTCGGATCGCAGCAGCCTCGCGACCTCCGCTTCGTCCCAGCTGCCGTCTCACGGACCCAAATACCTTCTGTCCATCGCCAGGCGATAAAAGTCTCACAACCTTTTGTCCCGCGAGTTGAACGAAGAGATTGGGATTCGGGTCCCGATGGAGAGGCGTATACGTAGGTGGATATCCGATCCAAACATTCGTGTCGTAGACATCACCCTTTCCGGCCTGTGCTACTAATTCAGGTGTTGGAAAGTCACCGCGGAGTACCTGGGGGAGATCTAGGAGCTGGCACTGCGCTAGATACAACCGAGCGGACTGTGTCTCGAGCGTCTCTGCGGTACGAATCCAATCAAGGAACAGACTCAGCGGTGCGTGAAATTGCTGAAAGGTGAGCCCGTCTGCTCCTGTCCCGGCGGCGCCGTCGGAGGCTAGCTGTGTGAGTTCCAGAGGAACGAAGGCGTCGGCTCCGTGTTGGGCAAGGTAAGTTGTATTCAGTTGAGATACATTTGGTTCGGTCGGAGCGGGCTCGAACCAACGCTCAAAGGCGGGGAAATCACGAAAAGAACCCCGAGGGAGAATTGTAGGACGTTCCGGAGTAAAGTAGTTTTGGCGGAAGTCGTTTATGTCGGCATCGTTGAGGCTATCTAGGGGGCGATATGAGCGGGATGTCGTGGAGGTGAAGCAGCGTTGTTGTCGTGGTTGGTTTGAAGAGGAGAACCGGAGGGCGACAGACGACAGACGTTGCCAAACCCTGGGGTTATTGCTGGGCAGACATTGTTGGAGCTTCATTCAGAAGACCAAGTGTTCTGTCATCCAAAAGAAGTGGGTTGGGAAAGCTCCGCATCCACTGTTCAGTGTTGCTTGGATGCTGCTGCACGTGCGGTTTGACAAGGTGCAGATCGGGGAATTTCCGCCCCGACTGGGATTGACCAGTTGCCGGTGGATCTGCTTGAGATTTGCCCTTTGTAGCTCTTCATCCTTCATTTAAATTTGGATTCTTATTATGATTTCATCTACTATTAGTATCTCTTCAGATAAATTTACTGTGGTTCTTCAGAGGAAACCGTAATTGGTAGAGTTATCAATAACACAAGCAAGGGCTGATAAGGATGCCATGTCAGCTGGTGATGGTGATGATAAAACCAAGGACAGAACTCGCTCGGTCTTTTTTACCTCGACAACCCAATTGGAAATTAGACGGCAAACAACAAACCTGTCATTTGACCAGAACCACAGTTGACCACCGTCAGGATCAGCTAGGGACTTCCCATTAGCTTATAAGAATATTTAAATGTGCAGGACCTGAATCTCCTCGTCGGCGATCCCTTCCCGGTCCGGCCATCTGGGGAAACGGAAACCCCGCGCGCCATCGAGCAAACGAAAGGAATCCCTCCGCACCGGTCGCTGCTCTCTTTCGCGCCAACAACCAATCGTCCCAACTTGATTTCCATCCAAAATGTCGTCGGAGTCGCCGCAGGTTGATATGGCACCACCCCAGCCTGATTCTGGCGAGCAGAATGCCACTCCGGACGCTGATACCGCGAAGAGGAAAGCGGAACCCGCCAACGGAACTCATACTCGTTCCAAGCGGAATCGCTACATCTCCATTGCGTGGTATGATTCGGCTCGCTGCCATCCACCCATGTTGACCCTCTCCCATCACTGGCTTAGCACGCTTCCTCTTATCTGTTAGCTGATTAATTCTGTATTTCCCGTTTAGTAACGAATGCAAAAGGCGGAAGATCAAATGCAATGGCCAGGTACCCTGTCAACGCTGTGGACACCTTAACCTCGAATGTCAGTCAGGCTTGCGCTGTAGCTCCTCGCTGTAGCTCCCTCAACACACATGGCAGACGCGACTTACTATTTCCATAGGTCGATATGCCCCAAACTGCTGCAATAATAACTTCAAAGACTCCGAGTACGTCGATCATCACCTCTGGCTTTCTTTCCCCGCAGTATGCCCATCTTGATCCTCAGCTGACCAGTCCTCCACTACCAGGGAATTTCGGTCGATGACAGACCAGATAAAGACATTACAGGAACAGGTAAATAGTCTTTTTACCAATCTGAAGGATCTTCGGTCGCAAAGGTCGTCCATAGACTCCCCAAATTTTGACGCTTTCTCTCGTGATGGCTCGCAATCGGTGTTCACTCCTATGCATGCCCCGTTGGGCAAACCACGCATAAGACATCCCCGATTCCAGGGGCCAACCAGCTCAGCTTTTAACTTCGACGTTGCAAGGTCTAGTCTACAGAACATGGGCATCGCCCCGCCCGAGGAAGTGATACCAGACGATTTGACCACGGCCCAGGTCACCCCGGCTGGCTCCCCTCCCCATGTGGGCCCGTCGTTTCTCACAATGCATCCCACCAAGGATCCCATATGGTCCATCAAGCGAGAAGAAGCTTTGCGTCTGTGTCGTGTCTATGAAGAGGAGATTGGTATCATGTATCCCCTGGTTGATATAGACCAGATCGCTCAGCAAGTGAACTTGCTATACACGTTCATGGAATCTGCGATACGCACGGGGTTTGCGCAACGGGGCTTGCCTGGTGCTGATGGTCTTACTGATGACAACACGGTTCTTTTGAAGATGATACTTGCTATAACACTGGTCGTGGAGGGGGGCGGCCAAAGCGAGCTCGGACAGCGGCTGTATCTGAGCGTAAAGCCAATAGCTGAATCCAAACTCTGGGATACGCTCGACATCAGGACAATCCAGTTATATGGCATGATTGTGGGTATATCACTATATGCACTGGGATTGCGCTGACCCGTTCAAACAACAGGCAACTTTCCATTTTCACATGGACGATGATGCCATGGCTTATCGCATCATCGGCCTGGCCGCACGCATGTGTCTTGAGATGGGTCTGCATCGGCGCGATGCCCTGAACAAGATGTTTCCGGATGAAGACCAATGGCCTGCCGTGGTGAAGACTTTCTGGACAGTCTATAGTCTGGACCGACGATGGAGTCTCGGGACAGGGCTGCCTTTCAACATCCAGGATGAAGACATCGACCCTAACCTCCCTGAGCCGGTGAGTTACACTATTTAATGGAGTCTTTATTGGTCAGCTGCTAATAACCTCTCTAGGATGCTTCATTGCCGTATCTGAAATCAATGATATCATACAATCGCATTAGCTCGAAGATCTGGTATTCGGGGCTTGGCTCTGAGGGTACAACGGACATACGTCGGGATGAGATAGGCTATCTGGATTACCAGATCCTGCAGTGGTACAAACAGGTCCCAGATGCCCTGAAATTTTATCCAATCGAGTCTCCAAAGAATGGTCATGTGGATTCGGCCAACCGGGGCCTGAGGCGATTAAGGGTCCTACTGTATCTCCGCATGAATCAGCTCCGAATCCTCATCTACCGCCCCGTCCTCCACTCTGCAGCAAGTATTGCCGAGGATAAGGGTCATGCTCAAACGGTGGTGGATGTTGCAAAAGATACCATCCGCGTGCTCACTCGACTCAATCAGACATCCGACATATACCGCAGCCAACAGATCACCTTCAACTATTTCCTCGTGGCTGCTCTGGCAGTCCTCTTCCTTGCTGTCTGCCATGCACCGGCAGACTTCAACCGACAAGTACGGGATGAGTTCTACATGGCACTGAACTTGATCAGCGGGTTCAGTACGAAGTCCTACGTCTCGAAGCGTCTCTGGAAGGCAATCAAAGGACTTCGAAAGATCGGGGAACGACTGGGAGTGCTTGTGCGGCCTTTCGGGTCGGATTCAAATGACCCTCATTCCAGTGCAGCAGTGGCCATGGCCGGATTAGCAGGGCACCAAATTGAAGACTTGTCGGTGTATGGCCCGATGAATGGGATCGGCGAGCTTGGCAACAGTCCTCTCAACGGGCTGCAGATGAGCCATGAGCTTACGAATCTATTTGAGGCAGTAGGCGGGTTTGGGAACTTTATGGCTTCTGGGACACCGGCCGAGGGGATCAATGGGTTTGTAGGTCATGATGGGGAGATCCAGAACACGGGGGAGGGGCTCTCGGGAGTGCTTGGAGATGAAGGCGAATGGTCACGGGTGATCCGGGATTTGTTCTAGAAGATGAGATCAGATCTACAGTGGTCACGACTGTTCAAATCGTAGCATGAAGTGTCATTGTCCTGTATAACCATATCCCCATGTAGAGAGAGACTGAAGGACAGTCGAGGCTGGCCGATCGCCACGTGACTGAGGGAGGGAAAGCCAGCGGCGGGTGACTTTCGGTCGCCAACCTCCTCCAAAGCCAATCCCAGAACATGTTCCACTTGTGAATCGCTGTTGGTGTGGCCACCCACCTTCTCTGCATCTGAAGACATCGGTCTTTCTGTTGTCTATCTTTTGGGCCCCGACTCACCACTCTGCCGTCGTCTAGCTGCCTTATCTATCGCTCCCTCTTCGTGTTTGAGCACCTTTCCCGACCGCCCCACGAACCTAATTTCGGAAGCCCCTCGACATCCTCCGTCGATCGATTCAGGAAGAGAGAAAGAGAGAGAGAGAGAGAGAGCCAGGGAGATTTGTGATCCATCCTTATCCACCATCATCTGGACGGGTCAAATCTATCAATCTCTATTAATGTCTTGTGGCCGTCAGTGATTCTGGGAGACATCGTTTGCTGAAGAGTCCCGCTCTCAATTCAGTCGCGTTAACACACCCTCATCGCACAACAATCTGCCCGCCCGCTCGCCCGCCCGCACACTGTCATGACCGCGACATTCATCACAACCCTGTCATTCTATTAGCCCTACAGCGGACGTCATCTGCAGTCCCATTATACCTTATCCACCCAATTCTTGCCTTCCTACCACAGGAGGGCTCACGACTTCGGAACCTTGTACCAGATTTTATTACATCTGGTGCAGGTTTAATCGGCGCTTCATCTCGCACGAGATACTTCGCAGTCGTTTCTCTCCTTAGCTCGGCAACGTGTCGAGAGAGATAGGTTCGGCGTTGGCCGACGGCCTAGACAGGCTGGATCTGAGTCAACTGTCTGAATCGACGCCCTCGTCGTCCGCGTCCGACTCCTTCGATATGTCGTCTTCGGAAGGGGCCCCGGAGTCCTGGATCTCCTCGTTTTGCTCCCTGATGGGTCATGAGTTCTTTGCGGAAGTGTCGGAGGACTTTATCGAAGATGACTTCAACCTGACGGGTCTGCAATCGCAGGTGCCTATGTACAAGGAGGCCCTGGAAATGATCCTGGATGTGGAACCCGAGGAGGACGAGGAGGATGAAGAAGAGGAGGAGGAAGAGGAGGACGAGGACGAGATTCTAGGAGACGAGAAGCCGCCGGGATACCGCAGGGCAGGGGAACGGAGGCATGCACGAGTCGCGAGTGATCTGAGCGTTATTGAGAGCTCCGCCGAATTGCTTTACGGACTGATCCACCAGCGCTACATCACTTCACGGCCCGGTATCCAGCAGATGCTTGAAAAGTACGAAATGCAACATTTCGGTGTCTGCCCGCGAGTCTATTGCAATGGATGCAAGGTTCTGCCCGTCGGCCGTTCCGACACGCCTGGCCAAGAGACGGTCAAGCTGTTCTGCCCTAGTTGCCAAGATCTGTACACGCCCCCGAACAGTCGGTTCCACTCAGTCGATGGAGCATTCTTTGGAACTACCTTTGGTTGCCTGTTCTTTATGACCTTCCCAGACCTCGATATCGGACCCCGGCTGGACAGCTCCCTCGCCGCGTTATCACCGACCCGCTCCTCCTCCTTGACATCTTCTTCGATCAACAACCAAGTCGTGCCAGATGTGCCTCCTCCCAACCAGCCTGTCGAGATCAACGGCGTGCGTACCATCAACTTCAGCCCGGGTCTTGGACCGGGTCGGATCTACGAGTCCCGGATCTATGGTTTCCGCGTGTCGGAACGCTCACGGTCAGGACCACGCATGAAGTGGCTGCGGATGAAGCCTCTTGATATTCGGGAACTGGATGAGCTGTCACGGTACGAGGCGCTGCACGGGGGGGCTGATAATGCTGATAATGATGGGGACACGGAAATGGGGAGCGCCCCCGGCAGCGCACAGAGTGCCGCCATTGCGAAAAGGAAAAAGGCGCCCATGCGCAGACGGCGATACAATCCTAACCAGATGAGCATCAACGGAGCGGAGGCTGGATAACGTGTCACCATTGTCTTGTGTGCTTTCCTTGTTGGGATAGTTATCCTTTCTCAATCCTTTCTGTTCTTTTTTTTATCTAAATATTCTTATGTTCTTCATCTCCTTCTATTGCCTGTCTGTGCTCCATCTAGTGAAATATTTGGAATCATTACCCTCTATCTTCCTACCACACTATCTCTTACTCGTCGCCATCCCTATCTCCCGCAAAACCTACACAACTTCTACCACGCTTGTCTATTGACCTTGTTCGCTTGAGTTCGCAATGTTCGTTTCAGCTCATCCTGTTGACCTGCATCGAGGCGTCGTTGAGTCGAGTTTCTTCGTCTTTGGCGTACAGATTCACGTTCGAATACAGTACAGAGGAGAATCATGGATAAAGTACGATTGTATGAATTGATAAATGGACGTGCAGTAAATAACCATGGACGTAGGCACATGCTTGACGCAGTGATCAACTCTCTAATTTGTATGCAATAAATTCTTCCCGGTGGTTTTCTTGAATACACTCGCTCTGGTTCATCAGTAACAAGCCACTAAGCCTGTTGACTTCTATCGCATCCATTACCTGCCCGATAGATAGCTTCATCATCCGACTCATGCGGAATTGGCTATTACATACCATACTCGTACAGTTCATGTGCATTTAGGTGCCTGTATTCTTGAGACCGGATACGCGTATATCCCACGTTTGCACCTACCTACCTCCGAATCCACCTGAATAGGCAGATGTATTTATCCTCATCTTAAGCTACATTTAATGTTCAGAGTTGCCTAGCATAGAGCACAGCAACAGTATCAAAGCAGATCAAACATCACATTTGATCGTAGCTGTAATTGAAGCGCATAACTAGTACACATTGAGACGATAAACTACATCATCATCAACCCGTATCTGCCTATTTCCTCATTCCGGCGCTAATTCACCTCAGAGATAAAGCACATGCATAGCTAGGGCCTTCCACAAGCATCGCACAGCCAGACAGATACATAAAGAGTAATATGATAGTAGGGTAATTCCTAATCAGGAAAAAGGTATACTCAGAATACTACCCTAGCATCCCCCATGCAGCTAGCGAATAGTGCTATATTTAATATACGGAGTAATATAGTCTATTATATACAAGAGTATCAAATATATGTTCTCCACCATCACGATCCCCTATAACGCCGAGAAAGGTAGATGCCCGAATTAGTAGCAGTAGTAGGCGCCTATATTCAGGAATATTAATGCCTAGAGTGACTACAAACCTACTGACAAACTATCCCCTCGGTGTTATCAACCAATGTAGCAGTAACCAGCAACGATATCTACATGTGGAAGGACCCTGGGATCAGACTCATGCTCCGTGCACAATAACAATAGGCATCCCAACATCTACTACAAATAGCTAGTTCCTATTCAAGTTATCGTATCAGACACCTCATTATCTCCATATATTACATCACTAAACTGAAACATGATTTAAACGGCTAGGCACCTACCAAAGATGAAGAACGAAGGATCGCAGGATCACACGTGGTTGTGTCAAGTCTACGGACGATAGGATGATAAGAAGCAGTAACTGAGAGTCTAGAATGGCACCATCATCTCAAAACGAACTAGTAGTATTCAGCCGGTCCCGGCCGGGCGACCGACCGACCGACCGACCGACTTGGTCGAGCGTAATCTTCAGACCCTGGACGGGTAAATCGAAAAAACAAAAAAGGGAAAATTAAAGTGATGACCTGACTCTGACTCCCTTCCGTTCGGAGTCGGAGGGATGTTCTGTCCGTCCGTGTCCTTGTCCTTGGTATGCTAAATGTAGACTCAGTATTGTAACCAACTATGTAGCAATCGTATTTGTCATGCGGGTTTATGACCCCTCCGTGGCGTTAACAAGAATTAATAAACGATGAGAACTTTACTTTACGCATTAGGCGTCCAACTGATAACTAACCTGTATGGAGTAGTCAGTTAGACCATCAAAATTACTCATGATTATCCAGAAGGATTCATTAGTTAGTTAGTTAGTTATTGTGTCCCTGGTAGAGTAGTGAGTCATGAGGCCCCCATCCCATCCTCCATTCATTCATTGCCCAGCTTCAACAGGCAAGGCATCCAGCCAGCCAGCTCTTACCACCAATCAACAAGCCACTTCTTCTTCTCCTCTCAGATATTGAGAATAAATTACTGTACGGAAAACCACAGGGGGAGGAAGGAACCGGATTTCACCGATTTTCAGCTTGTCCGACTCCGTATCTGCATACTACACTACTGCCAATATTTTTATTTTATTTTAATTCTATTTTCTCTTGAGCCTCCTGGTGTCACTCATGCATGACGAATCCCACGCCCTAACCAATGCAATGCTGGCAGGTGAGGTGAGGAGGGGGGGAGAGGGGGGGAAAAGGCCCAATCCCAGTAGCTC